TAATCATTACACATAACATAAGACATTAAAAAAACCTTTTGGCTCTCTGAAAATGCATTTTTCAGAGAGTCAAAGTTTTTTTTTATGTCTTATGTTATGCATGTAATAAGAAGTAAGATAATGTTCTCATCCCACAAAGGATCATATAATGCTTCAGTGTATCTGGAAAATTCAAATTGTCAAAACCTGCCGCCTACATTAGCCAAAATGCAACAGACAGCTGGATGGGAGATAGTGGTGTGTTATGCAAGTTGTAACTTATACATTCAACCTGATCCATGATGCTGAAGCAGTCTGCTTGTTCTGTATGCAGGCTGTAACATTTGGAACAACTTTATGTTCTTGACTGTACAAATAGGAGCTGGATAAAACCTTGACTCATCTCGTGGTCTTCAGTGGATGGAGGACATATAGCACATAGGCTATGAGCATCTGCTGAAGACCCCGAGCTGCGGTTGAAAGCTCTAGGTAAAATCAATGAGCTGACCTTGATGTAAGATTATTTTTGTCATGTTTTCTTGCTTTTGAAGATCTCTAATGCACAATTGGTGCTTGGGTTGGCAGAATGAGACGTTTGACTTATAGCCTATGCTTTGTAGTGTACATTTAAGATGTATGCTCCTGACAAGGCTGGTGCAGCTGTGATTATTCGTAGAAATCACCATGGGTGCACTCAATAAATGATGGATGACCACTGGACTGCAGTTTGGCAACTGATTCAACAGCATTAACCTGTCAACATGGCAACTCCTTGACATAACAATACAGAGTTAATTTTGTAAGCCAATCACAACGATTATTATTGTGTTGTGTTATTATTGTGTCTATTGGATATGAAACAGAGTTGTGTTATTATTGTGTCTATTGGATATGAAACAGAGGTTGTGACTGGTGTGACATCAAAGAAGTGGTCCTGTAGTTATTTTGGACCTCATGGTAAACCACCCGGCAAGTGTAAATCTATATAAAATTATAAGGATGATAATTCAAATAATTACAATAAGGATGTAACTGGATCAAATATTTATGAAAATTAGATTTACAGCCCTGTCCCACTCAACCTGACAGTGTTAGATAAAGCGGAACAGGGCATTTCAGGTTGAGTGGGACAGTTTTAATGCTAATGCTAGTAAGCACAGTGCTGCAGTTTCATGAAAAAAAAGATAATGTAATATAATAATGTATTATAATAATGTATCAAATTTATGGTTGGTAATTGCTTAAATACACTAGGCTACACAAAAGATGGCACCCATACAAAGAAAAGATTAACAGAAAGATAGAGGAATTAGTGAAAGGGGGCCGGGCATATGGAGAAGATAAGAACAACAATGTAGGAAGGGAAGAAAACTCAACAAGTGGAGGGAAGAGAAAATGGCAGTGGACGTTGAGGAATATAAAGGACAGGAACCTAAAGTACAGGAACCTAAAGTAAGGTTTTTAGCCAAGGCATGGAACACCCTGAAACTGACATTACAAAAGTGAGTGAAAGGGCTGGTGAGAGGCCATGCATCAGGTAAAAGCCCCAAATAGTTTCTGAAATGCATTTATTAACTTAACTTACATAGCCTAGTATTAATAAACTGAAGATATATAGCCTTTAGACTACTCACAAACATGATTTCTTTTATGCATAGTTGAATATTTTTAACTAAATTATATCTCTTTGAGTTACTGTACACTAACACATTATATATGCTGTTAAATGTTAATATAATATTAAAATGTCTAATAATATGTTATTAAATGTTGTAAAAAGTATTTCTCATGTGTTTAATGTTTAATTTTAACTATAAATAATATAGTGTCCCACTTCATCTAACAAAGTGTCCCACTCAACCTGATTGCTTCCAGTTTGCCGAAAAGGGTGACAGATGATGTTTAAAGATAAACAATTTGATAATAAATAAATTGGCTTAATTTCACCATAGATGTCTTCACAACAACCTATTTAAACAAAATACATGTAATACATTCTAACTGATTTAGGTAATTAAGGCACTTTACCTGACTTCATCCTATGTGTTGCAGCTTGTATGTCAAAAGCTCAAACATCTCAAGTATCAAGAGCAGCCTAGTCTACTTTATGTAGCCTATTAATTCAGCCCGAGCATCACTTACCGCTGAGCCCGGCTCCTCTGTGGAAGGGGGACAGGTCGTCCATAGACCTCCCCTGAGATGCTGTCTTTCCCTCAGGTGCTTTATGTATGTGGTTGTGGTGGTCGGGACTGCCGATGCTTCCGGTGCTGGATGTGCTACTACCATCCCCGACGTCCCGAACCGGCACCGAGCCGTTCAGGTTGCTCAGACTGGACTGGCTGTCGATGGAGCTCCGGGATCCGGCTCCGCTCCTCTCCTCGTCCAGCATGAGGACGATTTCCTTCAGCTCCGTGTTCTCCGTCCTCAGCGCGTCCTGGCTGGCCTCCAGCTCCTTCAGCTTCTGCTGGTACAGCTCGACATCTTTCCAGAGGACGCTGGCCGTGTAGCGGCCGAACCGCTGCCACTCCCGGGACACGGTCTTCCCCTTCTGCCGGTCATCGTCCAGGAAGCAGCACAGCTCCCGGAGCTCCAGGTTATCGTCCTGCAGTTTCTGATTGACCTCTTTCAGACTCCGGATCTCGTGAAGGTGGATCTGCAGTCTCCGGTTCACGTCTTTCATCATGTTCCCGTGCTCCAGCATCAGGTCCATGTTGCGGCTCTCCAGCCTCCTCAGCCTCCGGATCAGCTCCTCCTTCCCCAGTGTCAGCAGCTCCTCGTCGGACAGCTGGCTCATATCCGCCCCGTCCATAGCCCCACTGTTTCTAATGTTGTCCTAATAAACGGCGAGTCTTGTAACCGGTCTATAACGGCAAAGTTATTATGAAATCAGACCCATGACATAGCCTAGTCCGCACCGGGCCACAGAGACAGACCCGCAGGCTCAGACCAGGCTGCGCTGCCTGTAATCCATCCGAGGAGCAAATTCCAGCAGAGGACTGTTCGTTGGTCTCACTTTCTTAAACATTAACGATGCAAGTTAGTTTTGGAGACGCGAGGAGACCCTGTCCGAAGCCAGAGACCAGAGCCGGTTGGTCCTCGAAGTGGAGGAGCATGGGAGGAGACAGACAGAGAGAGAGAGAGAGAGAGAGAGAGAGAGAGAGAGAGAGAGAGCTCACCCCACTTTACAGAATGTAACACAGTGTCCTCTGCAGGCAGCCCCACAGACCTGAATCCAGGATCCTGCGTTTCTAACATAAGGGCCACCAGACAGCGTGGTGGCCCTTACGCGTCCACGGCCAATGTTGGCTGGTTCTCTTCCACTAGCGCCAACTAACCCGCTGACTGTGTCATGTCCAGCTGGGAATTCAAAGAGCAATAGCCTAAATATGTTACACACTAACATTTCAGAGACACTATATTAAGAAAACTGCCAGTGGGCTTTCAGACTTCATGCCACAGCACCCAGTACATCCCACCTCCACAACCTTTTCATATAAAGTCTATGTCCACAAGGCAACACCACCCCACGTTTCCCTCATCTCTGCTCACAGAGACTCTTAAACTGAAAAGGGCACATGCACAATACCTCAGAAACTTTGCATGTACAGATACACCATGAATAGGTCACCATATTATATTTTTCATTGTAGCCTATATAGTGTGTAGGTATATTTTATATTTGATTCTGATTTGATCATAGATTGTACTTTTATTGTATTTCTTTTACTCTTTGCACTACATTCCCCTGAGCTGCTTTGGCAACTTGAATTTCCCCCATGGGGGATCAACAGAGGAGCTTCTTCTCTTATCTTGGGTATCCATTTGCCAAGCATCTGACTATTCCATTTGTCATTCTTTTGTGGAAAAATATCAGATGCTGCACACATTTACGGGACACATGCTCTTACTCCAAACCAGAAAACCCTCTAGGCTTAATAGAACCAACTCACTCATGAAAATGATATCAGATAAACCAGGAGTGCTGCATGCACAGTGGCACAATATCACAGAAGTGAGAAGAACCCTTGTGTTATTCCAGCTTGTGTGCCTCAATTGTTTTTTCAAAATGTTCCTTTAAAGTGGTTAGATACAGACCCCTTTCAGGATTTAGACAGTAGTCCTGTCCAAATTAAGCCCATTTAATATCTCTGTTTGAACAATCTGGTAATTCTCCCATTCAAAATATATCTTTTAAATCTTTTAAAAGCAAAACCCATACTTTTGACAGCGTGGACATGAAATATCAAACAAGCAACATTATGCAACATGTAACACAGTTTGGACAAAACAGAATTTAAAGTATGAATAGAAAGAGAACCCTTTCTTAGACGCATTTAGAACACTGGGTCTGCACACACGTCTTTCTTTTATTGGTTTCAAATAGGCTCACTCAACATGTTTACTAAAATAAGTGCACTTCACCAATTAGCTGCTGAATGTACTTTTCTCCCTCTGCTTACTTTTGTCCCGCTTCATTAAATCCATTGTTATTTTAAATACATTCATCTTCCCCCATTCCACGACCTGGATTTCAACAATACCTCTAATATGCAAGACTGTACCGAAATGCAACTGGAGTGAACCCTTTTCTGCCTTTCAGTGAGCAATTGCCACACTAAAAATTATTATTATTATTATTATTATTGAGGCGACTGTTTTGCCCCTGGAGTCATGATTTAGACAACGTAAGGTCGCCATCTACTGGGCAGCCAGAGTTGACATGGATGATCATTCAACAATATGTTGCGAAAGAGATCAGTTCAACTCAAGAAACTACAATAATAGAAGAACCCACAGACCCACAATGCAGTGCGTCCTCTAATTGAAATTCAGAAGAGTGGATTCAATGAAAACTATGGCAAATAAATAGGATATATGGGATTAATAAAGGACTTGCTGATGGTGATATTAGTAATAAAATCACTAGTGTTGTAGATGATGACGTCACTATTAGGTCACTATAATGGTATTGCTGTTGTTGATGATGTTATTGGAATTATTCTTGGTCTAATACACAGACAGCAGCAGGGAGACTCTCCCTGTCTTCGGTAACGCGGTTAACAGCCTCGGTCGTTGGCTTCCTCCCATTTTGTGTGCAGATGGACCGCACACCGACCGCACGGCTCCCGAATTTGCCGCCTGACGACAGACAGTCCAGGTTGACAGAGGACACAGCGGTTCACAACGTCAGAAGGACGCATAAAGCGGATGATTGGAGTTAGAGCAAAGTGCAGACAGGAAGCCGCGTCTGCACAACTTTCCCTTCCATGATCTCCAACGCACGCCATAATGGAGCGGAGTTATGGCCAAGTCCCGGGTCGGCTGTGGCTCTCGCCGATTGGCATCTGGTATTTTTTGGTATTATGTGTCGCACCTGTAATGTTGCACCCGCAGTGTTTGGACTTTAAGCCGCCCTTTCGACCGCTGAGGCAGCTGGAGTTTTGCGTCATGTACAAGGAGTTTGGCTGCTGTGATTATCAGAAAGACCAGGAACTAATGGCAAAGTACTACCAGATTATGGATAATTTCGATTATTATGGATATGCCAACTGTGCTGGGTTCGTCCAGGAGCTGCTCTGCCAGGTAGGCATGCATGGACAAAGGTCGCTTGGCTTAGTCCAAAACGTCTCCATCATGCGCCAGCAGCCTGACAAACAGCAAAAACATGCGCCAGTGGCCAGACAACAGGATAAACATTGACTCTTAAAAAAACAGAAATCTATCATGTGTAAAAACCATTTGTGTCATTTACACTGGGGACCTTGGGGACATGTCCCCACCCCATTTATAATAGCCTAGCTAATTCTGTCCCCATCACGTTTTGTAAGCAAGATTTTCTGAAAAATAGCTTGCACCAAGGAATGTTAACCAACAAATGAAGATGCTTTGAGAAAGGTTTATTTATACTGCAAGAAAACATGCAATGCAGTTTAAATATACAAGAAACAAATGTGCATTGTCCAAAAAAACCCAGTTGCTAAAAAAGCTACTGATAACTGTATTATAGCCTATTTGTTTGTTCATGAATTTTCACTTGCAAGATGAATTTTTTATTTCCCTTTCGATATATAAAGACCACCATTTCCACCACAAAGCCATGCAGAAAATGTCTCCACAATGCAGGAAATTAAGTCTTTAAGGCTCCAATTTTCTGGGGGAGGACCCCCAAACCCCCACTCCAATATTTTATCATTTCCTATTTCTTCAAAATAGCGTTAAAGAATCTTCTTGTCTTGTTCTGGTGCATCTTCACATCTCGTGACCCAAGAGTATCATCTCTCCCCTAATCTGAGCCCTTGTGTCCCCACCACGCAAAGTGACGCTCTGGGTAAAAACACTTCATGAATACCAAAACATTTCATCAGAATAATATGATCATACAGTAAAAATATACAATATTATGGCCACTTTTCATCAGGTACACTGATGAGCTGAATTAAGGTAAAGGTCTGCCCTCACAGATGTAAGCAGAGGGAGAGAAGGTGTTAAAGCTTTGACACCTAAGATGTTGATTTAGCAACAGGGGCTGCAATTTATTATCAGGCAGATGTACCCAATAACAGTTTCACCATGAGCTTCCCAATCTGTTGGATTAGATTCCGGACGTTGTGTTTATTTCTAGATGTGATGTATGTTCTTCATATGGGGAAAGACCAATTAGTCTCATTATTGGAAACTGATCATCATCAAATACTTGTTGTCCTGCTGATTATGCTTTTTTCTGTTTTGTGAAAAAATGCTTGCCTTTTGTGTGTTAAGACATTAACATAAAGTTGTGTTCTAAATATCCGTTAATCTTACATAAGCAAAAAGAAAATACATTACTACATTTGTCTGCAGGCATACAACATGAAACTTTTATATTACAATACTCTTACCTTAGTATTCTGTGCTTTCTGCAATTTCCTCATGATATTTGTGACTTACTTTACTAATATATAGTGTAATTTTCGTCTTAATTGATGTAACATGGAAAAGTAAGACCGGTCTAGCTTAGAGACATTAGCTGACCCCACAAGTGTTCACTGACCTTCCAGCTCTAGTTATTTCTCCTTATTAGGGAGACAACAGTTTAACTGATAATGTAGAGACAGTAGCCCAGGCATCAGTTCTCTGGGAATCTTAAGGTTGAGTCTTACAAGAATGTTTACAAGAACTGACTGGCTCCACAGATAAAACTCATGAGTACAACTCATGGGTACTAATAGATTCCAAGTCTAAATTCCGAGTCTAAATATCAGATAGATTTGTTGTTCTAGGTTAAGGCCAGCTAAATGACCTAATAGGGAAACCTACAGGCACTAGGGGGAAGACAGAAACATAAAATGGATCAAGAGATGTTCTCCTTCAGATTTGGCGTTGCCATTTGATGTGTTCACATGTTGTATGTTGCCACTGTATCTCCTCGGCCGGGCTCAATAAACCATGCTATGTTGTATGTATGTCTTCATGAGTCTCTGAAACTTCTTCAAACCTGAACCTGGCTCACAGTATTTCTTCAATATATAGTTTTTATGATTATTGCCGTGTTTGCTGGATGTGTAAAAGTAAAGAATATCAAGTTAAAAGGGGACGATACGTCAGTGTTGACATATTGTGTCAGTTCTCAGCTTGTTTATGCTACCACAAAACAGTGCAGTCCTCATCGCTCTTCTCCATCTGTCCAGGTATGCTCTCCCTATGCAGCTCACCTCTTTGATGCTGAGGACCCGAGCACCCCGGTCAGGACCATCCCCGGCCTCTGTCCTGACTACTGCTCCCAGTTTTGGAAGAAGTGCAGCTCCACCATCCCTTTCCTGTCTGATGACCCACACATAGCCACAGTCAAAAAAGACCAGACACGTCTCTGCCAGTACCTGGAGCTAGACGACGTGGACTACTGCTACCCACACCTCCTCAGCAACCAGAAGCTCACCAAAAACCTGGGCCAGGTTCAGTCAGACTCGGACGGCTGTCTTCAGCTGTGCCTTGAAGAAGTTGCAAACGGGTTGCGGAACCCGCTAGCCATGGTGCACGCCAAAGACGGCACACATCGGTTCTTTGTGGCAGAACAGGTGGGCTTGGTGTGGACATACCTTCCTGACCGGTCCAAACTGGAGAAACCATTTTTGAACATTACTAAGGCAGTGTTAACTTCATCATGGGAAGGTGACGAGAGAGGCTTTCTGGGACTGACCTTTCACCCCAATTACAAGTACAACGGAAAGCTGTATGTGTATTACTCTGTGGAAGTTGGTTTCGATGAGAGGATCCGGATCAGTGAGTTCCATGTGTCAGCCAACGACATGAATGTGGTGGATCACACCTCTGAGCGGTAGGTATGGACTGCCGATCCAGGTTAGCAACATTGAAACATTTAAAACTCGGCATGCAGCCAGAGAAATAAACTCTCATGAGGAGTTATACCTGGTCCTTTGTCTTTTTTGTCATGTGTCCATCCAGGGTTATTCTGGAGATTGATGAACCAGCATCAAACCACAATGGAGGGCAACTTCTATTTGCAGATGATGGCTACCTGTACATTTTCACAGGGGATGGTGGAATGGCAGGAGACCCATTCGGGAAATATGGGAATGCCCAGAACAAGTAAGATGTCCACTTAAGATTTCCAAAAGTAGACACCCTTAAATGATCTGAAGTAACAAAGGATGCATCCAACTTTAGAAAATGTAGCAAAGAACCATATGTAGGACTTTGCATGACTCCTGTTTTACTTTGTTTTAATTTAAAGACAGTAATTCTATGTGTCTATACATTTAAGATAAAATGAGATATTTTCCATATTGCCACAGGTCAGCTCTATTGGGTAAAGTTCTCCGCATTGATGTGGATAACAATGAGAGAGGCCCGTTGTACAGAATTCCTCCAGATAACCCCTTCATACACGAGCCGGGGGCACGACCTGAGATTTATGCTTACGGTGTCCGCAATATGTGGAGGTGTTCTGTGGACCGAGGTGACCCTCGTACCAAAGAGGGCAAAGGGCGCATCTTCTGCGGGGATGTGGGCCAGAACAAGTTCGAAGAGATAGACATCATCGAGAAAGGTCGGAACTACGGCTGGAGAGCCAAAGAGGGCTTCTCCTGCTACGATAAGAAGCTGTGTGCTAACAACACGCTAGGTAGGCATGCTTTGGTGATTACAGTCAAGTGGTTTGAAAACACCCATTGTTACTTTCCTTCAAACGCAGACAGCAGTGTTGGTCTCCAATAGTGTTTGCGTGATGAAGGGCCAAGATTCGGGAGTTTTTCATTACACACAAACACCATAGCAGCTCTCTTCTGTATCTTTTCTTGTCTGGATGTAATTAGCTTTTGTAGTGTTTTGTTGGAAATAAAAACTGTAGAATCTTGGCCCGTGGTATAAATGGTGACCAACTTATTTGTTGCCGCTACAATGTAAAGGACATGAACTCATAATAAAAACTAATCCAACTGGCCACGAGGCCACTTTCTCTTCGGAAACAGCCATTTAAAAAATAACTTTTGAGGTTAATGGAGATTAAAACACTTTTTAAACACCATTTACTAAACAAGAGAAAAAATACATAGATAAAATATGCATAGATTAGATTTTGATTACTTTGGGCATATAATCATTTGGCATCATCACATGGACTTTGACTTACCCTTGAGAGATATGCTCAGCTTTTAAATTTCTTGGCTTCATTGTAAAGAAATGACTAACAGAGCTAAAGGAGAAACTCAGTAACACCAATACCAAATGACTTTTGAATTTTTTCACAGATGATGTCTTGCCTATTTATGCGTACCCTCACAAAATGGGCAAGTCAGTGACCGGTGGCTATGTGTACCGAAGCTGTGAATACCCCAACCTGAATGGCATGTATATATTCGGAGACTTCATGAGTGGGTAAGGTTTAATCTGGTAAATAGCACATTTTCTTTGCTGAAAAACCCCACCAACCTCTGAAGCTTGTGTTTTTGTCAGGAACAGGACCGCAATGAAATATTTTTGAGGAATGGCAACAATGTGATGTCAGACCTTAATCTGATAACTGAAAAGATACCTGGTGTTTGTTGGATGCCTGCAGTACCTGCATTTGAGGATTTCAGAATAACATGACTTGCGTGAACTAGTTTAATTCATAGATTATCCAAATGATTATCAGGATATTTTGACACTGTGGTATTGATTGATGCTTTTACTGAATACTTCTTCCACCACTGCTGTACAGTAGAGGTTCATGTAGGTTCTCTAAGGATGTTTAAAAGTAAAAGCAAGTCCAGTTGCCCTTGATTTTAACCTTCGTTGGATAACTATGACCTGGATGACTGAGAATCTTCATAGACATGTTTAAAAGTACTTTGGGAAATGTAGGAAAGCATAAACCCAAGTACAAGTAGACAAAATTGGTTGGTAACGCTTCACCATAAAATAATGGTGCACTGCACATTAGAGATTGTAGATCTGATTCCTTTTCCAGGCGCTTGATGAGTCTGCGGGAGGACAGAAACACAGGGCAATGGAAATACAATGAGATCTGTATGGGCATGGGCCTGACCTGCGCCTTCCCCGGCCTCATCAACAACTACCACAAGTACATCATCTCCTTTGCAGAGGATGAAGCTGGTAACACATGCACAGCCTCACACTGCACTAGCTGTCATTTGGAAATGTGTAACGTCCTCCCGATGTAATGTTTTGTTCTTTCCATCAGGCGAGTTGTACTTCATGTCGACGGGAATACCGAGCGCTACGTCACCTTCAGGAGTCGTTTATAAAGTGGTGGACCCCTCAAGGTGAGTACTATAATCACTAGTTTGCTTCCTTCTTATGTCACCATCGTAACACAAAGAAAACTTGTGTGATTTGCCATCACACAATAACTGCTTCCTGTGTGTAGAGTATGTACAGTTCTATTTCTGTTTCTTGGAAAACACACATCTGTTCATAATTAGAAACACAGGCATGTCATTCTTGTCAGTGAGACCGAGGGATGTGCAGTATCATGATCATAACTGGCATAGATGTGAGCTTAGGGCTGTGTTTTCTCAGCACTAGTGGGATAACTTTCTGCTGAATGAGGACGTTATACTGCCTGTCTCTGTTTAGGTAAAGAAGGGAAATGAAGCAGTATTGGCAGTAGTGTGAAAGGCCTAAATCTCCCTCCTCTGACATTGCTTCAGACAGCTCTTGGCTCCCTCTGCATTTCTCTCAGCACTAGATGGTTGTGTCACCTAATTTGTTTCCCAGCCATCAAGCTCATTGGAACTGTTCCTCACCACTGTTGTGACTCGAGCTGGAAGTGCAACATGCAACAATATTTCATTCTGTTGTTGTTTTTCAGACGCGCTTCACCGAGACAATGTCACTACGACCCTCTTCCTGTCAGAGTGAAAAGTAACCTCATCAAGTTTGTTCCACAGGAAAGTGAGTCAATTCAGAAACACTTTGACCTCACTACCTGCTATAAAACAAATGAAATCTGTGATATTAATTTGTTTATGTTAATATGTGGTTTTTTTCATCATTATTCAGCATTAATTGGCGTTGAGCCACCAAGCAAAAACAAGCCTGAGCCACAACCCACAGAGTCCTATGACTGGCTCCAAGAGCTCATTGACAGTCTAGGTGAATTAGGACCAGACCCCACCACCCCTTTGCCAACCACAACTACCACCAAACCACCCAGACATTCGAGGCGGAAAGGCCGACGTAGGAAGGGCAAATCCAGAGCAGAGAGTGCGCCCGAGCTCCAGAATGGAGCAGTGAGGCTGGTTGGGGACGAAGAAGGCCGCAGCGACCACGGACGGGTGGAGATCTACGTTAACGGGGAGTGGGGCACCGTGTGTGACGACCTATGGACCACGAAGAACGCTGTAGTGGTTTGCCGGCAGCTAGGTTTTCGGTACGCTCTGAAGGCAGCCAAGAACTCAGAGTTCGGGGAGGGGAAGGATCTGCGGATTATTCTCGATGATGTTCAGTGTGAAGGGACAGAGTCCAGTCTGCTGGAGTGCCGACATGCCGGCGTGGGGACGCATAACTGTGCCCATTACGAAGACGCTGGGGTGATCTGTGGCAACTCGGACTATGTTGTGGAAGTCTAAATGTTTGACTACTATGAAGTCTGACCAAATTATCATTAACTAAACCTTAAAATTCACCCTTAATTTAAAACATTTCAACACTTGTATTTCAATATGGAGAATATTCTTATTCCCATGACTGTGCACACCAAACATAGCCCTTTGTGCCATGATATTTCCAGCAGGTAAAATGGAGTTAAATAGTATAAAAGTGATCTTAAATTTCTGGATTTTGTCGTCAGTCCATCACTAGGCCGAAAAACAAAGGGACATTCTTGGAGCAGTGCAACCACAATACGTAGTGCTTTGCATAAGGGGCATGGAACAAATCTTTCAATAGAAGAAAGTTCAGGATCATAATCTGAAGCAGGAGGTGATTTAGGTTGAGGCAAATTATTTCATCAAAGCATTATTAGATAGCCTGCCCTAACTGCTGGAATGATTATATCTAACACTTTAACCATATCCCAGGGTGGGGGGTCTCCTACTTGCCAGTAATTGGCACAAATCACTCACACAGGTAAATGTTTATGTAAGATTTTATTTTTAATTTGTCCTTACAGACTTTTGAATGTTTAATTTGAATGTATGTTTGGCACTATTGTATTTGCCTCCTCAGTGATTTGTTACTGTAACAAACTTAAGGGTCTGAATGCCACTCTTCCTAACGTTTTAAATGTTCAATACCCACTGACTGAATGAATGTACGGTTGTAGCATGGTTATTATTTTGGTAAATGATATTAATAAAAGCTTTGTAGTTTCTTCTGGCTTCCTCACAAACTAGACCAAACAGGTAGGTCTGACATACCGCGACATATAGCACTGTTTTATGAGATTACAACATGTAGACCTATTGAAAAGAAGACAACGTTTGGAAATGCTTTATAAATTGTTTTCACATCTTGGCTTTATTGACAGTCCAGCAAAATAACACAGTTATACAATAAAACAATATCATGTAGCTGAAACGTAAGGACGTGCTGGCGAGGCTTGTGTTTGTTTGTAATGTTAGCCAATTTGGCCTGTTTTAGCATGACAGCCTGCACGTTCTGCTTCAGCCATTTTAACATTAGAGCACCGCAAACTGTATGTTGTTATTCTGAAGCGTTAATGTGACATGTTCTGACCATACTGTAACGTTATATAAAAAGGTTACGACATAACTTTAATAACTTCTAGCTTAAAGTTAATTAAAGCGTCGAGAAAAACTTATAATAACGTCACTGTCTAGGGTTTCGCACTGCTGTCGTTTGGTTGTTAGTGTTTTATCATAGTCTACTGCTTAGTTAGCTTGAGGTTGGTGTTCAACTTACCTACTAGCGAACAAAATTCAAACCTGTCGTATGAGAATACCGAGTGGACAGCTAATAATAATAAGAAAGAAGAAAAAGAAAAGAAATGGTCGACTCAACACCATTGGCTCCATAGCTCAGTGGTTAGAGCACTGGTCTTGTAAACCAGGGGTCGCGAGTTCGATCCTCGCTGGGGCCTTGTGAATTTTCCGCAGCTTCAGCTGCTTTTTGTCAGTATAGCAGGAAGCTTGAATTGTACTAAAGGTTAGCGCGCACGTCCACATTCAGTTCTGACTAAACAAAGGCGGCTCTGTACTGGCACCTTCTGGACTTCAGCAGAATTGGATTCTCTTTAAAATGTTTAAATATTTCATGATGATTCGCGTCTGAAATTATTATCAAAACATCAACTTAAAAATAAGTAATAGACAAGTAAAGTGTAAATGACAAGCCTTTTATTCTAACCCATTAGTGCTTGTTTGAGCGGTCTTTCCTCTGTGTTCTGTTCTGTCATTGATATGCTGAGCATCACATCTCAGGGGCTGTAGCCAGGCTTACAGCCTGCCAATGTGTGGCCCTTGGCTCTGTTTCTTACCTTGGTTCTTTCCATCCAGCCTGATATCCTAAAGGTCATAATTAAACAATTTTGGTTGCTTTGGTGTGGAATGGTCGTGTATATTTCCTGGAATTCTCTTCTGAATTGTTCCCCCTCCCCAGTGGTCCCTTCCTGCCACAGTGTGAGTCCAGTTTAGTGTAATTTGAATTATAAGATGGAGAGTATAAAACACACACACCTACAAAAATATAAAGGATACCACAATAAATGATGCAAGACAGCAGGTGACTGGGTCCCACAAAATCAATACAATACCCATAAGCAATAACATCACTCTGCCTCATACATCCCCAATAACTAAAAATAGTTAACGTCATAAGCTTTTACGGCAGCTTATCACATGAAGGACATGGCAGTGCAATTTTTAAAGTGTGTAAAAGTTGACTACATGTTGAATTCAATGACAGAATGTACCCTCTCTTAAGAAAATGCATTTTTTAAAAAACAGATTCAAAGTTGTTTTTGTCTTTGGGTCAAAGCAGATTGTTCATACAGGTTGGAAACCAAAACTACTAAAATGCACATAATTAGCATGCAACATTATCAAATCTTGGCATTTCAACAAAACAAAACAAACAAACAAACAAACAAAGCAGGTGAACAGCCAGCTGAGAGCATGACCATCATGAGGTAGCTCTTCCTAGTATTTGGCAGTTTGCTACAGTAAGTGTGACCTGCCACCAGGTGGCAGTGCTGTTTCATTCAAAATTCTCTCCGCTGCTTCAGCCTCAAGCCTTTTCACAGTTTGTGATTTGGGTAAAGTAGATTAAATGAAGTCTGGACTATTAGATGTGTGTTTGCCTTTTGTACAACCAGAGGACAAAAGAACTGACAGATAATTTTAGAGATTTTTTGATCAATAATATGAGTCTCTGTGTTAGTCTGGGTGACATGACACGAAACCTTGATGCAATTAAATCAGTTGTTTGCTTAAATTAAATCTCTCTAGAAATGCTGGTATCTGCAAAATGTCAGCTCTTCAGGAGCTAAGAGCAGCTACCGAGCATTTGTCAGTTTAGCCTTTGCTGTTTCAAAGGGTTTAAGATATTTTCAACCGACTGAAAACCCTCTAATCCTTTAATTGAAGTGAAAACACAAAGATCACCAAACGTGGGTTTAAGAGGTTTTCACTTCACAGCATGTTACAAACCATGTGAGGGTCTGTGGCTTGTGGTGTAGAACCTCAGTGCCGCTACTTGCCGCCATTTCTGAGGCCCTGAACTGCCTCCTGTCAGCAGAACATAATCCTGTTTCACGTTTGATATCAGTCAGGAGCTCGGGAGCAGATGGCGACCTCACTCTTTCTTTTTAGTTTGTTTTCTCGACGCTTCTGACTGAAATCTTCCCAACGAGATATACGTTCTTTATAGAGAGAAATGACAAGAACAATTTCCACCATTCTTCCAATATGCCTGACTTAACATCATCTTCTGAACTACTTTCAGATGGCTTCACACATAAACGTATTAATAATTTAATTTATAGTATTATTTGTCTATCTCTTTAAATGTCTGTCTTATATTTTATGCATACACTATGCAGTTAAATTCTGTTTCTTTGAAGTAAGTCTCTTAAAGTAAAATATAAGCTGCTCTCAGTAATGAGAAGTTCGCCTCGCGGGGGATCTCCACCCAGTCCAAACCTCCTGCATATCTTGTCCTTCTCTCTTCTCCCAAATATTAGCTTTCATGCCCCACCCCTCTCTCTGCCCGAGCCGGCTAGAGTGGCATCCCGACTCCACAGAAAACGCCTGGAATTTGCACCTCCTCCTGTCAGGGTTGATTATCAGTGGAGCCATCAGTGTGTGTGTGTGTGTGTGTAAAAGAGAAAATGTGTTTCAGCCCAGCATATTTTCATTATAAAACAAATCGGCACATCTGTTGTAAATATACCTTCATTTATGAACATAATCAACAAGATTGATTTATATGTTGTTACATGTTCAGTGTGTGTACTCTTTCATGCAATGTTACAATTTACCTAAAGAATGCGTTTTCTATAGTAATAACAATAACAATAATAATAATAATAATAATAATAATAATAACAATTTGCATTTGTTTAGCACATTTCCCCAAGGACACATTGCACATAGGGAGGCAGACAAAACAAATAACACAAGAACGTAAAATGATAGAATCAACGTTTGTTGGGGAGAACAGACTAATTAAGTCCTTAGGCCTTAATGGAGAGGCTGCCACACTGAAAGCAGGTGACGAGCAGACCTGTGTCTGAGGACTGCAGATTCCGGGGGTGTATAGGGGTGGCTGATAGGTACTAGGGGGGGAAAGGTATGCAGAGATTTGTGGGTAAGAAGGAGGATTTCGTACAAGATCTTGACCAGGAGCCAGTGAAGATGGATGAGGGTGTGGGTGATGTGCTGCCAGGGCTTGGTGCGGGTCAGTACACACGGCATCTGAGCTCTGCACATACTGGAGCCAGGGCAGGGCTCTGTTGCAGAAGGGTGTTGAAGGCATGGATGAGGGTCTCTCCCGCAGAGTCTGTGAGTGATGGCCACAGAGTCTGGAGATGGTTTTGAGTTGGTAGAAAGCAGATTTGGTGATGCATTTGATGTGTGACTGAAATCAGAGGGTGTAGCCTAGAATGAAACCCAGGTTGTGGACTTGAGGGGATTGGCTGAAACTACAAAGTGTTGGTCTGTCTCTCAGTACATTCTGACTTCAGTACCCTGTATGTGGGTCTCAGCTCCAAGCCCAATCTTTACAAATGGATAACAAATGTAAAGTTTCTTTTAAAAAAAGGCTCACTATGCTGCTCTACCTTGTTAGCTTTTCAAAATAAATGCAAAGATGTTACAAAATTAAAGACAATTCTATTATAAATGCTCATTTTAAAAATAAACAGACTGCACCAATTGGATAACAAACTGAATAAGTCTTATTTCTTCCAGGAACAACTGCAGAGCCAAGACTCTTGGCTAAAGCTAATAAGAGCAGCCATAAGATGGACGCTTCTAATGCCGTATTAGCTTACCCATGGCCTCACACATGCATTTTCACTATGGTCTTTTCCATTCACAGGTCCCTCCATATGGACAGGAGCCTGACCCTATTAATAGGCAGAGAGGTGACGCAGTGAACAGTGAACAGACACCATCGGGTCATTGAGCAGAGATGGAGGCTCCAGCCGGGAGACACTTTGTCTCCTTCATCTCATCACACAGCTTGGGGTCTTGTGCCAACACCCAGCCTGTGGATCCCTAACACCCACCAGAACCACTGAGGCACAAACATCCGTACATCTCAAATTAAAAATCCTTTCTACCATAATCTCTGAATATGAATATATATGTATATATATTTATATATTTTTAATATCTTCAGTACCATTTTGGTAACTCTTCAAACATGATCCCCTCCTTCAGATGGGCTATCCTAAAATTGGAGTCACGATTTCCTGTGTGAAGGCCTCTGAGTGCAAAGGGTAGCTACATAAGGATCAACACAAGGTACGGTTACTCACCCCCACCCCTTAAGAGTTCCTCTGAATGGTGTGAACAGCACACCATAATTTTAAATCATCAATGTAACAGGGAAAGGCAAATAACCACAGCGAGAAATCATCCTCTTATAGGACTTAAGAAGTATTTATAGAATGGAATTGCTAACCTCTTTTGGTTGGACGTGGAAAAGCATTATGTAAAGTGAGCCCCCTTTTCCTCAGTTAGCCCCTCTGAGCTGGTTTTGGAAATAACTTTCGGATGTACTTTCTCTCCCGGTGCCATGATCAACAATGTGTTAAGTCTCAGTCCAAGTTTGTGTCCCCAAATTCACTCCATGCATTTATTTTGGCGGGTCAATCGTACGCGTTGTCATGCCAGTAACAAAATAAAG